TACTACTTTTTCCGCTTCTTCAAAGTATGATGTTGGTATTTTAATGGGGATTGCACTGAAGCTACAGATTGCTTTGGATAGTATAGAAATTTAACAACATAGATTCTTCCCAGCCAAGACTATGGTATGTTCTTCTATTGTTAATGTGTTCTGCTATTGCTTTTCTTAGGTTTCATAATTCTCTTTCTAAAGATCTTTCGCTTATTTTGTTAGGTATATTCCTAAGTACTTCATTTTCTTTGAAGCTATTGTGAAGGGAATTGTGTTCTTGGTTTGCTTCTCAACTTGGCAATTGTTGGTGTATACAAAGATTACTAATTTGTAATTGATTTTATAATTGTAGTTGATTTTATACCCTGAGACATTATTCTATTTTCTGCTCACTTCCAGGAGTTTGTAGTTGAGTCTCTGGGGTTTCCTAAGTATAAGATTATATCATCAGCACAGAGCGAGAGTTTGATGCTCTCTCCCCACTTTGGATGCCCTTTATATCCTTCTCTTACCTGATTGCATTGGATAGAACCTCTAACACAATATTGAATAACAGTGGTGATAGAGGACATCTTTATCTGGTTCCAGTTCTAAGTAGAGAAGCTTCAGTTTTACCCCATTCAGTATGATGTTAGATGCAAGTTTGTCATAGATGACTTCAGTCAGCTTAAGAAATGTGTACATATGCCTATTTTCTTAAGTGTTATTGTTAGAAAACGATGCTGAATTTTGTCAAATGTTTTTTCTGTTCTATTGAAAGGATCATATGGTCTTTTTTGTTGTTGTTTCTATTCATATAGTGGATTACATTTATGGATTTGTGTATGTTAAACCAGACTTGCATCTCTTGGACAAAGGCTACTTGATCAAGATGTATAATTTTTTTTTTAATGTGTAGCTGCAGTCTTTTAGCAAAGATTTTGTTGAGTATTTTTGCATTGATATTCATTCATGAAATTGTCTATAGTTCTCTTTGATAGGTGTATCCTTTCCTGGTTTTGGAATCAAGGTGATGTTTGCTTCCTGGAATGTGTTGGGAAACGTTCCTTCCTTCTCAATGTTTGGAATAGGTTCTGCAATACAGGTGCAAGCTCATCTTTAAAGGTGTAATAAAATTCTGGTGTAAAGCCATCTGGTCTCAGGGTTTTTTTGTTGGAAGCTTTTTTATTGTTTCTTTAATTTCAGTGCATGATATTGGTATATTTAAGAAATCTATTTCTTTATAGCTAAGTCTAGGGAGACGGTGTGATTCCAAGTATTGGTCCATTTTCTACACATTGTCAAATTTCAGGGCATAGTTTGTTGTAGTAGTGACAAGTAATTGCCAAGTTCAGAAGCAAACTAAGTTTATCCCACCAAACACCCTCTACTGTGTTGTCTCCGTTGCAGACCTTTTCCATCTTGAATGTGTTCTCTTAATCTCTTTATCTCAGTAATCTTGTATCTCTGTGGTTCTTTCCCCTGTATAGTTTCTTACTGAAGTTATTAAAGAATTTAATTTTCTATTTCTAGTTAATCTTGCCAATACTTTATCAACTTTATCTTTTCAAAGAATCAACTTTTTGTTTCATTAATTTTCTGAATGTTTCTGAATTATTTTCAATTTCACTTATTTCTCATTTAATTTTGTTGTTTCTTTTCTTCTGCTAGGTTTGGAATTGGATTGCTCTTCCTTTTCCATTTCTTTAAGAGGATTTACTGGATTATTCACTCTCTTTCTGTTTTTCAGATGTAAGTATCTAATGTGATAAATTTCCCAGTATTTTATTTTTAATTCCCCTGGCCCATTTCCCAAACCCACAGAGGCAATGGGGAGCAATGCAGGGATCAGCTCAGTGGCATATACTGAATTTTAAGAATTTAGTTCTGAAAGCTATTTGAATATAAGTTAGGGAGTAAAGAGTAAAAGTAAAAGCTATTTGAAGAGAGATATGCTAGGAGGCTAACATAAAAATGCAAGCAACAGTGAGAGGGCCAACTTTAGGTACCCACAACAAGAAAGAAGAATGACAAGATAAGGGACATTGCTAGGGTCCCTCCCCAGGGTCAGGGTCCATTAAGACCTGTGGATCTGGTGGCAATTGACTGAAGAAATATAGTTAGAAATTATGAGAAAGATAGAGACAAGACACACAGAATAGAATTTTCAAAGTTGGGAACACAAAGGACAACCACCTGCCTGAGGGATTCTAACAGTGGCCCCAACTGTCAGTTCCACTCATCTTTTTTGAAGGCTATTTGCTCATTACCCTAAGGGTAAGCTGAGGAAGGGAACAAAGGCCAGCAGTTTCTCTAAGTGAGCATATCAGCTCCTTCTGTTTTTATAATCATTAACCTTAAACATATGAGCAGTCTTGAGAAATCTGGAATCTTAGCCTTGTGTGAGGACAGCCTCCTATCTGCAGTCAAAGACAGATTCTTAGGGAGATGTTAATATCCTCTAGTTCATTGTGGAGTAAAATGCTACTGGTGTTAATCTCCTCTGAAGAATCAGTAGGAGAAAGAAATTTTCCTCTTATCACCACCACAGAGTGTCTTCCTCTGCAATAAGGGATATAAACCCTCCTACCCATATTTCAGGGTAAACCCTCCTACCCCAGCCAAATACAAATGTCCACAATCGGTATTTGCTTTGGCCATTTACTGGAAAGGAAATGGCATAGTTAATGTATGTTTCCAGGCCTTGGCATACTATCTTCTATGGCCATTATTTTCTTCAGAGTGTTCACAGATCCAGCAGGGATGTTTCTAAGCTGTATCCCCCATAGTCCATAGTCCTAGGAGAAGCAGGGAACTTGCTCAGGTAAGAAATTTAGCAGCAGCTAGTTTAAAGGTAAACTAGCTGACTTTTCTTTGTTCTGTCTCATTCAGTATACTTTCTTATTTTCCTCTTTTTCTGGGAGTGTTTTCTGTTGCCAAGAATGGAGTCTTTGGTCCCCATTCTGCCTGCAGAACATTTCATTCAAGAAGGTCCAACAGATGTAGTAACCCTTCATTTCTTCACTTATTTATTTTATTCACCTTAGCCATTCAGTAAATTGATGAATCAATCATCTTCTCCAATCAGTATTTACTTAGCTCAGCTATGGGTGGGACAACCTTCTGGATACAAGAAACACAAAACAAACAGAACAGATATGGTCAAAACTCTACTCCTAGTATAGCATGCAACCCTTTTATTATGCAGCTAATATAACTTATAGCAGCATGTACACAGATACAATATTAAAAGGGATTATTTTTTAACAAGAAGAAATAGAGCCAAAGTTACTGCTTTCTAATGTGTACATTAATCTGTTGGTTTTTCCTAGATTTTACCCTGAAAAATCTCATTTTGATGAGCACCCTCTAGTGTGTGGCCTCGACTGCAGACTTTTTCCATCTTGAATGTGTTCTCTTGATGTCTGTTCTTTGTGTCTTCCTGATTTCCTGGAGCTGTCAGAGGTAATATCAATGAGGAACACAAGTTCATCCTCCGACTTTATCCTCCTGGGGCTTTTGGTGAACAATAAGGCAACAGGGATTGTATTTACAGTTATCTTTGCTATTTTTGTAGTGGCTGTCACTGCAAATCTAGGCATGATATTCTTGATCCAGGTGGACTCTCGCCTCCACACCCCCATGTACTTTCTACTTAGCCAGTTGTCCATCATGGATACTCTTTTCATTTGTACCACTGTCCCCAAACTCTTGGTAGACATGGTTTCTAAAGAGAAAACCATTTCCTTTGTGGCCTGTGGCATCCAGATATTCCTCTACTTGACTATGATTGGCTCAGAGTTCTTCCTACTGGGCCTCATGGCCTATGACCGCTATGTGGCTGTCTGTAACCCACTTAGGTACCCAGTCCTGATGAATCGCAAGGTGTGTCTGTTGCTGGCCACTGGTGCCTGGTTTGGTGGCTCCCTTGATGGGTTTCTACTCACCCCCATTACCATGAATGTCCCCTACTGTGGCTCCCGCAGTATCAACCATTTCTTTTGTGAGATCCCTGCTGTTCTCAAACTGGCCTGTGCTGACACTTCCCTGTATGAAACGCTGATGTACATCTGCTGTGTGCTCATGCTGCTCATCCCCATCTCCATCATCTCCACCTCCTACTCACTCATCCTACTGACTGTCCACCGCATGCGCTCCGCAGAAGGCCGCAAGAAGGCCTTCACCACCTGCTCCTCCCATTTGACAGTGGTCAGCATTTTCTATGGAGCTGCCTTCTACACATACGTGCTGCCCCAGTCATTCCACACCCCTGAACAGGACAAGGTTGTGTCTGCTTTCTATACTATTGTCACACCCATGCTTAATCCTCTGATCTACAGCCTAAGAAACAAGGATGTCATGGGGGCATTTAAAAAGATATTTGCCTGTTGCTCCTCTGGTCAGAAAGTAACAAGTGACACTTAGAAGTTCAATGCTATGAGGTTAAGGATTACTAAGACTTCCTCCATGTGCTCTGGAGATTATTTGGTCATCTATCAAAGTGCAACTATTCCTGGCAATTTTTTAATTTATCTTGTCTGGATTTCTGTTTCTATGGAGATAAGGGGAAGATGTTTCACTGTTACATAGAAGCCTTTTTTGGCTTTCAATAAAAATGATTTATTACTAAGTTAAGAATTAATCTGGTCTTGGTTCTTGTCTCAAGAAGGAAAAAACAAACATTAGAGTTCACAGTAACCTCTCATTCTGAATCAGGTCTCCTTCACAATTTACTCATGGTTAAACACAAAACAAAAATCCTCTAAAACTTATCAAATTTTTG